AATCTGAATCCTGCCAGATTTTTCTCCAAACTTTTACAGTTATCCCCCATGCTGATTTGATGAAAACATTTTTCTTCCATTCATTTTTGTCAAGCCGTACCAAGGTATTCTACTTAAAATTTCAGAGTAATAGCCTTTTTCCATCTTGTTTTTCCTACTTTTATGTTTTTACTATTTTCATTAATTAGATATGTAAAATGCCAGTTGTATCCTGAAATTATTACTAAAAGTCAATCATTCCCTTGCTTTTTCCCTTTTTCTACTGACCAAACATTTTCAACTCTCTGATTTAACTAATTTTGAATTAATTTTAGATTTATAGAAAGTTGCAAATACGCCCTTCATCCAGTCTTCCCTGATGTTATCATTTTATGTAACCATAATATAATTATCAGACCCAGGAAATTAGCATTGATACATATCAACACACGATTCGAGTCTTGGCATTTTCCTACTATGGTCTTTCATTAAGGTCCTTTTTCTTGTCCAGGATCAGATTGCTCAACTGATTCTTTAATCTCCAAGTCCCTAAATAACCTAATTAACTTTGGTACATCTTGTCATTATCCCATTAAAGAATGTAGGGTACCTGCCCTTTCACAACACAGTCACATTTTCATGTTTTTGTCCCTCAAATATGATAATATTTTTTATTAAATCAACCACCAGAGGTTACTGTTATGAATAATAATTTTTTTAAAAAACTCATTGCCATCAAGTTCACTGCCAAACTACTGACTCCCAATGACCCTATAAAGCAGGGTAGAACTGCTCCTGTGGGTTTCTGAGACTGTAACTGTTTATGGGAGTAGAGAAGGCCTGTCTTTCTTCCAAAGTGCTGGCAGGGGTTTCGAATTGCTTCACATCCCAGCTTGCAACCACTACAAGTAAAGCACACTGGGCTGCTAGAAGCAGGGGGAGCAGAAGGATGAGGCCTCTTCTATAAAGAGTCACACTCTTACAAATCCACAGGGGGCCTCTAGGGTTGCTATGATAGCATACTGTGTGATGATTTTTCATCTCTTTGAACTTAAGAATTACATTTGAAGACATTAAGTGCTTAAGAGTTACCCTTATTTTAAAGGTATTTATTATTAATTCACCCCTAAACCCTCTTCCAGTTGCATAGTTTTTCTATAATAAATACATTAACAAAACTCATTAGGCAATTGATTAATTTCACTATCATGGACAACTCTGCTGAATCATTTATAATGTATTTTAAAGACTGTAAGTTCTTAATTTTTAAATAATCAAATTAATCAATTTTTTTCTTTATGGTTTGTCCTTTTGGATCTTGTTTTAGGATGTCTTCCCTACTAAATATTATCTTACATTTTCTTCTAAAATCTTTATAGTTCTTCACTTCATATATGTCCTTAAGCTACCGGGGGGGAAAAAGTCTAAAACACAGGGAATCCAGGGCAGATGGTCCCTTCAGAAACAGTGGTGAGAGCAGCAATACTTGGAGGGTGGAGGGTGGGTGAGTTGGAAAGGGGGAACCGATTACAAGGATCTACATATAACCTCCGACCTGGGGGATGGACAACAGAGCCCATTACAACAGATCTACATGTAACCTCCTCCCTGGGGGATGGACAACCTCCTCCCTGGGGGATGGACAACATATAACCTCCTCCCTAGGGGATAGACAACAGAACCCATTACAACAGATCTACATGTAACCTCTTCCCTGGGGGATGGGCAACAGAACCCATTACAACAGATCTACATGTAACCTCCTCCCTGGGGGATGGACAACATATAACCTCCTCCCTGGAGGATGGGTGAAGGGAGACGTCGGACAGTGCAAGATATGACAAAATAATAATTTATAAATTATCGAGGGTTCATGAGGGAGGGAGGGGTAAGAATGAGGAGCTGATGCCAGGAGAGCAAATGTTTTGAGAATGATGAGGGCAATGAA